GGCGCGGGGTTTCGCGGCCCGCCGGTCTGTGCGCAGGTTGGAGACTGTGGCGTCTCTTCGAGCACATGGATTTACACGTGCTGCTTCCCTGCAAAAGGGGACGGAGGTCCGCCTGCATGCGCGTTTGCATTTACCGTTGGTAGATAAAATGTCTCGCTTCATTTATCAATGCAGTTTTGGGCAAGTGGGTTGCATTGCATCTTTGCACTATTTAATTTAGCATAGGAACTTTGCCTGTGAAATTCATCCTATGTTAAAAAAATCCAATTTGATGGCACTGATTACATATCTATTACTTTAGTTTTCACCTGTGAACCATGGATGGGTATTTGAAGTATGAAGAGTAGTGCGTAGAAGTTAAGAGGAAAATCTTCGACTTCTATCATTGTTACTGCATATGCAAGTATTACATATATTGTGTATTCGAGGGTCTTCAGACCACGGGAAAATCTAAAAATCAACCACTAGTTCTCTTTTCAAAGCGGCTTATGTGAGGAAGTCTTATGTGGTCTTCGTAAGATATTTTGTTCAATGTTACCATTTTTTATGCATTGTCTCCAGACGGCTAGACTGCAGGAACTCAGGGAAATAAAACCAGAAAAACTAACTCCTGGGTGGTTGCACTGTACTGTGCTTAAGTTTATTTTGTTCACTTTTGTGTCAAAACTGTTTATTTTATTGCAGTAAACTTGGCCACATTTAAGGCCGTACTGTTGACTAGAAACATAAAAGTGCCTTTCAGTGATTTGTAAAACGACTGAAAACATCCGCAGCTAACATCTCTCCCCAGGCTCCATCTTCCGCGGTATCTATCTTTGAGACCGCTGGGGATGGCAGAGCTCGGGGAAGAGCTGTCGCACGAAGAGCTCTCCTGCCGCTCGCCCTTCCTCGCGCGCCGGGTGAAGGGCCAGCCGCTGCTGCGTGCCTTTGTAACTGCTGGTGCCAGCAGCACCGCGAGCGAAAGGAGGGCCGAGACAGACACGCTCTTGTTCTGCTCTGCTGCAAACAGAGACTGGGATTTGATCCACGCTCTCCAAGATGAAACAAAGACCGTGGAAGCCAGCCGGCACAGACGATTACAGAAAACCCAAGTTATCTTGCGTTAAATGGATCTGGATTGGTTTGAACCTCATCCTGATCTAGGTCCATGCTTTAGCTACGCAGTTTGGCACTGGGATTTCCCAGCACTATGAAAAACCTTCGGTCTCTACGCTCAGTCATGCTGCTGTTAGATCCTACCTACCAGAATAGTCAGCTTTAAAAATATGACACTGGATTTTTTTTTCAAAGTAGCTTCCCTTTTACAAAGTTCACCAAATGCTTTGAACAACTTAAGGGAATTAAGCTATTGAAGTGCAAAGTAATATAACAGCTAACAGCATTATTGTCGAAATATGGAAAGCAAAAGCATGGTTTTAACTCGTTCTGGTTTGACGAGGTTATTGGGTGCAGCGTACAAGGCAAAGCAGATCAGGTCAGACTGGGATTCATCAGGACTTGAAGCACTAGCCTGTCAAGAATTGTTTTTAAACACTATCTTGGGTACCATTAATTCCCGGATAGATACCGTCTCACAGCGTATGCTTCTCTCGGACATCGTGCACTTCTGCTGTCTGGGAAGAAATGCATCTTTCACACAGAAGTACTTACTGCTGATTTTTCTTTAAAGATTTTTTCATTCTTCAGATGGTTTTAGACGTCCTATGGCTTTTAAGTCTTTCTTCATATAACCATGTTTTGTGTTCTCCCCAACCACTGGAAACCCAACCCACTCTTACTCGTCCTACTGGAACAAGATACATTTTTTTAAAATGTAACTTCTAGATACTATCTAAATTTCATGCAGTTATTTCCAGGCAAAGAGATATCGTAAAGCTTACTAGTATTTAAATGTCTCACTGGAGCTCTTGGAGTGACTTTGTTATGGGTCCTAACTGTACTACAGCTCAACCTCCTTGAAATATATTCTAATATTACATACACAGTATTCAAATCACCAGCACATACAAACCTCAGACGATTTCTTGTTTTAACTGCACCTTATGTATAATTAACACTTTAGATATAATAATTCCTCTGATGTCTAGCAACATCTTAGTCCCTTAGTGTGATCTCTTACCAGTCTGCTAGTAGTGCAAAATGCTAAGGAAGCCATCAGACCTCGAGAGGAATCCCTGTGAGCAGATCCACCTCAGGACCAGGGCCTCAGTTACACAACGTCTTAGGTTTTGTGTCCGTGCCTTTCAAGCAGTGTTCAGAGACAGTCTTTATGTATCAGCAGCAAATTGTCGCCATAAAACCATAAGCAGTGGCAGGGGGACTCAGAATAATTCCTGAAATTATTCTTAAATGCATTTTGAATTGACTGACTTTCATGTTGATTTCACAACACGTTTATGCAGCAGGCTGTAAAATCTCTAGTATATATTTACTGCCAATAAAATGATTTTTAAAGCATTTCGGATCATCATCAGTTCATATCTATGCTAACATTTGAAATGGAGATGTTCACAACAAACTGATTTTAGTATGAATCTGGTAACATGCTTTACACTGTAGTAGGCATACACCAAATAAAACTCCAAGCCTTATACAGTAAGTTCCATGTGAAGCCACCATTGTCAGTATTTCTTTAAAAACCCCCATGAATTTGCATTCCTTCTTCCTACATGTGATTTGCCTTTGTATCAAAGGCCTGATTTTCATAATAAGTATTTACAAGTCAAATGGGAAACAACAGGAGATGCAGTGATCATTTCAGAATCAGATCCTAAATACCTACCTTTCTCTGAGGCGAGGGGGAAAGGGAAAGAGAACAATGCATTTGATATAGTTGATGTCTGTGCATCTCATGTTTGAAAGAGAACACTAATCCTGTCTTACTGGCAAAATCCAAGCAATCTTAGCTCATGCAAGGTATTCTAAAGAGATCTGAGGGTCTGGTGTGAACATTCACTTTTTATCTTGTATTTCACCGTAAGAGGTGTCCTCCTTTTTCCAGTCAAATCCCTTATTTAACCTTTATTTATTCTAAAAATTCCATCTGTGGGAATTTGTGCAATGCTGTCATCCAGCCAGCTTTGGAGAGAACTAAATGAAGATGATGCTCTCAACTTACACCCTGTTTTCTAGTTGGGAAAATGCCTCCAAACACAGAGTGTTCCAGTTTGGTGGGAGGTGTTTTGGTCCTTTCTAGTGAGAATGGTGGTTTCTCCCCAGTGGCACACTCCTGTGAATGTCGTCCACAATGCATATGCTTAGAAAAAGGCAGTTGTTTTGCTCCAGGAGAGGAAAAAATGCGAAGAGGAGAGCACTCATGCGACCTGGGGTGTTAGGTGAAGCATGCTGCACCAGCTAGCAAGGGTGAGGCATCCTGCAAACATTGCATGGGAACCTAAATATTTGCATCTCCCTAAGGTGGGCCAGTGACTAAGCCACGAGTAGTAGAAAACACTGCAAGAAGGAAAAATGTATGGAAGAAATTCCTGTATTTGAAATCTTGATTAGCTATACAGAGAAGAAATTAAAATTACGAATGGGTCTGACCCTCTTTTATCTATTTTCATTGTTAGGAAGACGAGGAAGAACTAAATGGAGACTTAAAGTCAGAGAACTAGTACCTAAACTTCTGCGAGTTCAGGACAGCTTAAAGTTCATCAGAGATCCACTGCTGAAGGCAAAACTGCAGAATTTGATCTACACAGAGGAAGGAGAGGAAGTGAAATAAAGACTAACTTGGCTGAATCATAAGATCTTCAATGACCTGAAAGAAAGTAGAAAGTAGAATTACTAAATTATGAATAAATGTATAGACTATGTATGGACAAACCCAGAAAGATAAGGTCCCAAAACGTTAGAAAATTGGATTTAAAAGATAGCAAGGATGTTGGAAAGATGCATAGTGAGATGACCAAGGAAAAAATTGGTCTGTTACTCCATAGAGGGGGAAAACCATTTAATCATCACCTAATGACTGGTGATGCTGAGACATCAGTATCCTTAATGCCTTTTTTAACCTCAGTCTTCAATTTAAGAAGGCAGATGTGATTTCACTACTAGCATCACTGACAGAAGTCTAAGAGCTTAGGCTCTTAGACTCAAGCTTTCTAAAGCTTAGGCTTTAGAAAGTAAAGATATGAGAGGTAACAGCATGGGTTTGTCAGTAACAAATAATACCAGATCAGTCTGGTCTACTTCTATCAGATGGTAACAGGCCTTGTGGATAGGGTAGAAAGAAAGAGGATCATAGGGTTTCATACAATATGCTCTTAACTGAAAAAAAAATATGGTCTAGACAAGTATATAAGGTGTTAGAGCGTGTCCAGAGAAGGGCAGCGAGGCTGGTGAGGCGTCTGGAGAACACGTCTTATGAGGAGCGGCTGAGGGAGCTGGGGTTGTTTGTTTAGCCTGGAGAAAAGGAGGCTGAGGGGAGACCTCATCGCTCTCTACAACTACCTGAAAGGAGGCTGTAGCGAGGTGGGTGTCGGTCTCTTCTCCCAAGTAACTGGCGAAAGGACGAGAGGAAATGGCCTCAAGTTGCGCCAGGGGAGGTTTAGATTGGACGTGAGGAAAAATTTCTTTACTGAAAGAGTGGTTAAACATTGGACCAGGCTGCCCAGGGAAATGGTTGAGTCACCATCCCTGGAGGTATTTAAAAGACGGGTAGATGAGGCGCTTAGGGACATGGTTTAGTGGGCATGGTGGTGTTGGGTCAACGGTTGGACTCGATGATCTTAGAGGTCTTTTCCAACCTTAATGATTCTATGATTCTATAAAATGAGTGCAAAATTACTTGGAAATAATTAGTACTCCCAAGCTGAAAGGATACATTGAATGGGATTTCACTGAGGTCTATCTTGGATCCAGAACTATTCAGTACTTTGATCAACATCTTTGATGACTGAACAGAATACACTTATTCACATTTGGAGACCGTATCTACAGGAAAAGGCTCCAACTACGCTGGAGCATGGCATTATGATTCAGAAGGATCTTGGCAGATTGGAGAAACTGAAAAGCCACCAAATAAGGAGAAACAGAAGGTTCTACACATACAAAGGAATAATCAACTGCACAAGTACGTACCAGGATAAAAAAGCAGTTCTTCAGAAAAGAGATTACGGATCACAAGCAATGCTAGGCTATCTTGCATTATACTGATGCTGGAATGCATAAATAGGAGTATCATAAATACAGTAACAAAAAAATAATTTTAATCTTTCCAGCCATTATTATTAAAACTAGCATGCTCAGTTTTCAGGTCTATGCTCCAGGATAGTTGAGAACCAACTCAAAAATATCGAGAGGAGAGAGACAAAAATGGCAAAGGATTCTGAGAACTCAAGCTACAAGGGAAGGTAGAAGGAACAGTTGTCCTCTGGCCTAAAGAGAAGAGAGAGGGCAGGCAGAGGTGTTCACCTACATCAAGAGGAAAGAGAGAACCTGCTTTCCATGTGTACAGGTTTAGGTTAGGTATTAGGAAACTTCCTGCTTGCCAAGCCAGTTAAGTAAGGCCTGTACGCCACTCAGAGAGACGGTGAAATCTCCATCACTGCAGGTCTCTAAACATCTTCCTGCAGCACAGCAGGGACAGCTGACCTGAGGCCGAGGTAAGACGAGGACCTAGACAGCCTCTCGATATCCCTTCCAGCACTATCTTCTTCCTCTGCTATGGTTGTAACTAAGGCAGGGATTAGCCTTTGTTCCTTGTTTTCAGATTTTGCTCTAAACGCTAGCTTAAGTGACTGGCCACGATGAGTCGTCAGGAGCGGCTGTAAATATGTAGTCCTTCCCATCCTTTCGCACCCCGTCTGCAAGCATACTAAATGGCCTAGTGGCACAGTGACCTGGCAGTATGCTCAGGCACATCAGATCCCATGTGCTTCAGAAAGCGTTTTCCCGTTGAGCTCACTGTCTCAATACCAAATTTAGTAATAACTTGATATTATGACAATCTGCAAACAGCCCTCAAAAAAGAAGCGGGCGTATGTCAGGAGGGTAGTGACATTCCAGAACAATAAGCCAGTGGAGTTAGTTATTCTGGATGTGCTGGGATAGCTCACAACACAATTTTGCACAGTAGCAGTATTCATTCACAAGTGGTGATAAAACAATTAAATTTAATAATCAGCAAGAACCACCTCTCCCAGGCAAAAAAAGAAATTAATAGAAAGACAATATAATCACCACAGTTCTTTAGATTTCCCGACTTGTGTTTGTTTTGTGCATGTCCTGCAGGTTTGATTTGTGTTCTCTTTGCTTTGGATTAAAGAGAAAGAAACTGGCATCCTGATTCTGCCCTCATTTAAATTTAACTAAAATCTGATATCCTCCACTGAAATTAAAGCTATTACATGCCGGTATAAAACAGATCTAAATGAGCAGAAGCAGATAGCCGATGTATTTTACTTTAAGAAAATAACATAAATATCTCACAATATCTAACAAGCACTGCATACCCTTTTAATAGTGTGATTATTTATGACAAAAGGAAAATGCAGGTATGCTGCT